CTTAAAGTGTATGTATGTGTTTGCATTTTCTATATGACTTCTATCCCACATTTGTGACTTTCAGAAGTTTTGTGTTCTGGACTAAGAGGTGTTTGCATCGTTTGTGAAAGTGAACTAAATCAAATTCTTAATATTTTATGTTCTCAGTTTAAGTCATGATGTTGCCTGTAATAGCTTCGAGAAAGCCATCTGAAAGTAAAGTGTAAAAAAAATATGATAATGCTTTCTAGCATTTCCACTTCGTTCTGTCAAATAGTGTTTTTTTTTTTTTATAAAAATATCTTTCAGCAGTAAAGAAACATCCATAAGTATTCAAGCTTTTCTCCAGGAATTGGAAACCGTTCCTCTTTCCATGACTCATCAATATCTTCATGCAAATGTAGAGGCTCAAGTCACAATTGCTTCAGTCATTTTAGCAGGTGTTTATGTGCTCATCATATTTGAGGTAAGAATATTTTTTTTAATATAAAAAAACTCCAAATAGTCGAGATGAGAAATAGGAATAGAATTGTTTTGAATAGTTAATGTATTTCAGAAATACCAAGAAGAAAAGTTGCCTGTCAGTTCATTGCTACTAAGCACATCTACTGCGTTATATCGGGCTCAGTCAATTTTCATCATAGCTCCAATTCAATTCCAGTAACCATTCAGTTTTTAAATCTGCCATTTCTATGGGATTTGAAACTTGAATGTAATATCAGGTCTCAATTCCATGACAAATTATACTCAACTTAAAAAGTGTTGATTGAGTCCCGGCATAATCCCACACATCTTTGACAGGAACACAGTGACTAAATGAGAATTTGCTTAAACACCTCTGCCTGCTTATAGTCACACTGGGATCTGTTTTGGTTTTTAGCGCTGTGGTCTAAACCACAGAGCCGAGGGCTTGCCGATCAGAAGGTCAGCGGATTGAATCCCCATGCCGGGGTGAGCTCCCGTTGCTCAGTCTCAGCTCCTGCCAACCTAGCAGTTCAAAAGCACGTCAAAGTGCAAGTAGATAAATAGGTACCGCTCCGGCAGGAAGGTAAACGGTGTTTCCATGTGCTGCTCTGGTTTGCCAGAAGTGGCTTAGTCCTGCTGGCCATATGTCCCGGAAGCTGTACGCCGGCTCCCTTGGCCAGTAAAGCAAGACGAGCGCCACAACCCCAGAGTTGTCCGCGACTGGACCTAACAGTCAGAGGTCCATTTACCTTTTATGGATCAGAAGGGTGTAAAAGCTGTAGTGCAAGTCCGTGAGGAGAGCAAGCGAAGATACCCGCCTCAAGAAACCATGTTGCTCGTGCCTTTCCTCTCTGCTCATAGCATGTTATAATCTAATTGATGTAGGGAGCTATGGCTTTCCTCTGGTACCTGCATGACGCTTGAAGCTGAGGTATCCAGAGCACAGATTGCCATTTTGAACACTTCTGCATCAAAGCAGGACAAGTAGATAAGGGATAGCCAACATGGTGACCTCCAGAAATTGTGGGACTACAAACCCCATCATCCCAACCAACATGGCCAATGCACAGATACTATTTAATGATTTAAATACTGCTATAACATAAAGAGAAGAATATTGAAGCAGTTCACAGCAGTAATACATAAAGTATGCCATAAAAACCATACAAAAAAGAGGGTAAAAACAGACACCATTTAACCATTGTGAATTATGGGAATTGTAGCCAGTTAGCTCAGTTGGTTAGAGTATGGTGCTGATAAAGACTCTCCTCCCTGGAAGAGAGGGGCGTGGTTGTGGGCGGGAGCCTGAGCTCCACCCCTAGCAGGGGGCGTTAGCCCCCTGCCTCCTCCTCTCACCTGGCTGGCGCCCACGCCCCCTCGGCAGGCACCCAACCAGGTGCCTCCGAGGGGGTGTTTACAGCAGCCTTTTGCTGCGGCGCCAGCCTCTCCTCGGCCTCATTCTTTGCCGTCGTCTCATCCCGAGTCACCCACCCTCCACTCCCTTTGAGCTCAGGGTCTTAGTTCATTGGCCTTGCTATGGACCTTAGGTTGGTCGCCCTGGTTGTCCAGGGGGCCTGGGAGGAATTTTTCCATTTGGCATTAGGCCTTTGGTTTTTTTGCCTACCTCATAGCAATCGTCACAACTTTTGTGGTATTGGTGGGTAGGTTAGGCATTGGAATAATGTGTTGTGGTGTGTCGAAGGGCTAGGTGTGGCCATCGCCTATGCCTTCAATTTTTGGGTATTCCGTTAAAGGAATCTGGCGGTCGTGTACTCTGTCCAATGCCTGCTTGGCGGGAGGCCATGGCACGACCCTCGGTGACATCAGGGGAGAGCCTATAGTTGGATTAGCATCAACAGGCTCCACCTACTGGTGAATAAACCCCCTTGTTTTAGACATCCAATGCCTAAGCCAATACCTTTTCACTGCTGTAATCAATAAAGTTGTGGCCTTTTCTTGCCCATTAACCTTATATCATGTGTCCTTGCGTATTCATTTCACATTGCAGGGGTCGGGTCCTCGAACCACAACGCTAAGGCCATGAGTTTGGTTCCCATACAGGCCACCTGCGTATTCCTCCATTGTAGGGGTTTGAACCAGATGACCCTTGGGGTCTCTTCCAATGCCACAATTTGATGATATTGAGGGCACAATGTTGGCCAGCCCTGCAGTACAGCATAAGAGGAGGCTTGACTAGGCTTTTAGGAAGCTATGTGAAGATGAACTACCCATCAGTATCTGGGAAACAACTGTGGGAGAAGGCTTGTTTCTTTGTCTTGCTTGTGGGCTTCTCCTCGGACTGAGGAACCTCTGGCTCTCCCTATATTGTTGGAATACAATTCCCATCATCGTTGATCATTGGCCATGCTGTTCGAGGCTGATGGGAAGTGGAGTCCAACAACATCTGGAGGGATGCTGGTTCCCTATCCCTGCTGTGGATGTTTGAATATCTGCTATGGAGTATAGGATGCCACATCTGGCAGGGGCTGCCCTTTTGTTTCATTACCACAATAAGGGTAGATCTTCTGCTAAATACACCTACGGGCCGAAATGAAATAAATGGGTAGCTGGCCAGAATCTGCCAAAATTGGCCCCCTGAACAGTAGTGAAACAGGGCCTGGTTTCGTCTTTGGTTTCAAAATTAAAATCTCCTCCTTCAACTCTGTACAGTACAGTGGTACCTCGGGTTACAGATGCTTCAGGTTACAGACGTTTCAGGTTACAGACTCTGCTAATCCAGAAATAGTACCTCGGGTTAAGAACTTTACCTCAGGATGAGAACAGAAATTGCGTGGAGGCAGCGGGAGGCCCCATTAGCTAAAGTGGTGCTTCAGGTTAAGAACAGTTTCAGGTTAAGAACGGACCTCCAGAACAAATTAAGTTCTTAACCCGAGGTACCACTGTATCAAGGAATTCTCCTTTTTGGCTGAAGAGACTTTGGAAAACACAGAATCTGGTCCCTGAACTCTGAGAGGTGTTTGGATTACAGGGGCAGCAGGGGAAGGGAATGTTAATTTAGTTGATGCTGTTTCACTTATACCTACCTACCTACCTACCTACCTAGTGCCCATCTAAGTTTTACATTCCCCCTCCCCGCCCCGGTTGTGTTATTTTTTTTCTGGGCACTTCACAACTTTTTCAGCAGCCCATCCTCCTGACTCTGTAAGTAGATGGAAGATTTTTCTGCTCTATAATTAGGATGGCAGCCCTCACTCGGGCTGAAAATTCAGAATGCATTTATCCACTGGGTGGCGCTGCTTGCTGTTCTTAAATCTTGGATGCTGCTTTCAGATCTCGCTGTAAGCTTTAGCCGGGCTTTCTCACACAGAGGCTGTTGTTTTCTGGCAATAATCAGCGAGGTGCCATTTCTTTGTGCTGGGAAGCTGAAAACCAACTTTCAAGAGTGTCCCATTTTTATATCTTCTCCTGCCTTATAAAATATTGAAAAGGGCCACGTTTCAGTATGAGCTGTGATCGTATCAAAACGTGACCCATCTTGCATCATATTTATGTTTTCTTGTTCTGATGGAGGCAGCTGTGGAATATTAGGCTGGGTTAATTGAATGCTACTGTACTGCTTCCAGCCTGCCCAAGGCTGCCTAGGGGAAAGGGAGCTGCAAAGTCTTAAAAACGTAACAAAGCGCAAGAATACTCTTTGGCCCATGCACTTGCATGTGCATATGTATGCATGCTTGTGTGGTATTCATTCCCATGCATCCAAACTTTCAGAACTTGTTTATTTGGCAGCATAGGTTTTCTGGGGTAGAAGAATAAACGGTAGTAAAATGAATAGCTGCGGAGGAAATGAGATGATAAAAGACTTAACAATAAAGCTAAAAGGTACATAGGCAAACTGGTTGAATTGAAGAAAGGCAATACATTAAAAAACAGAGAGCAGGCATTTCATGTAAAGCTCTCTCTCTCTATATATATATATAAGAGAGAACAACGTTGCATCTGTTGTAGCTCAGTAGAACACACAGCATTCCAAAGGGACTACTAAAATTGTGTGCCTTGATGATACAGATTAATTAAATACAGATGTTTAGCTTTTTGAAATCCTGTTGTTGTTGTTGTTGTTGTTTTTTGCCAAAGATGCATACTTGGTATGTAGCCGTGCTTGATGTATTTTAAAACATTTTTTTGGGGGGGGGAGTGAGGTTGGGGTTGCTTTTTTAAATTTAGGTCCTCTTCATTTATTAGGAAGCAGTTTTATTTTGCAATTTCCTTGAAGCTTGGATCTTGGCCAGCTTGTATTTTTCTGTCCACTCTTGCTTACAAGTGCAGCCAGCTGAGTTTTGACCCAGAAGTGTTTCAGTAGCTTAGGTTACCCATAGCAGAAAAACACAAAACAAAACAAACAAAACTGAGGTGCCAGTTCAGCTTTATATACTGGCCTGTTTGTCACAAAGAGTTGTGCTTTTATTGAAGTGGCTCTGACAGAACAAAGGTTCACCCCACCACCAAATATGGTAGACCTGAACAACTTGTTTTACCAACCCAACTGCAGCCCACTAGCCAAGGATTTTGGCTCACCAGATGATTGACAATTCAGGGGAGGGCTGCAGCTCAGTGGTAGGGCAGTTGCTTTGCATGCAGAAGGTCCCAAGTTCAACCCCTGACATTTCCAGGTAGGACTGGGAATGTCCCTTGCCTGAAACCCAGGAGAGTCACTGTCAGTGCAGAAGGCACTGATTTGGGTGGACCTGGTCCAAATGACTCAGTATAAGACACATTCCTCTTTCTCCTCCTTTCCCCCCCAACCTTAGGCCTTTTATCAGCTGCCACATGTGGGTAGTAGATTGCCCATTATATAAACCTGAAATATGGTGATTGACAGTGCTTTTTTCTGGGGAGACGCAGGGGTACACATACCCCTAAACATTTTGTGAATCTAAGTTTGGCCTCATTGAGGGGCAGTATTTCAATATGAGTAGGAAATTACATACGCTTCAGGCTACAGACTCCGCTAACCCAGAAATAGTACCTCAGGTTAAGAACTTTGCTTCAGGATGAGAACAGAAATTGTGCTATTGCAGCACGGCGGCAGCAGGAGGCCCCATTAGCTAAAGTGGTGCTTCAGATTAAGAACAGTTTCAGGTTAAGAACGGACCTCCGGAACAAATTAAGTACTTAACCCGAGGTACCACTGTACCGCTAAACATTTTTGTAGAAGAAAAGCACTGATGATTGATAGAATGAGGATCAACGGCCTAGTTCAGGCTTCCTCAACCTCGGCCTTCCAGATGTTTTGAGACTACAATTCCCATCATCCCTGACCACTGGTCCTGCTAGCTAGGGATCAGGGGAGTTGTAGGCCAAAAACATCTGGAGGGCCGAGGTTGAGGAAGCCTGGCCTTGTTGGATGGAGCTGTAGCAATAACCTCCCAGCAGGAGTGTTGCTGAGTTTGGGACTGTGTGAGCACACCAGCAGAGCCAATCTGGCGCTTGTTCAGGGGCACTTGTTCAACCCCCCAACCCTTTGTCAGGAGCTCATCCTACTCTCGAGTAGGACCCTGGCAGAGACACATGCCCGTCTGGCATGTTCTCTCCCTCCTGGTCTTTCGTTTGGGAGCTTCAAAAGCTTTCTTTTGCCCGAACATCACAGCGACCGATGCCAACAGACATCAGCACACTTAAGGATCCGCAGAGTCTGCACAGTTCGCGTGACAGATGTCAGCAAAGCATTTTGGCTAATCTACTTTATTTACATATAAACACACACGGAGCACTGCAACCTGGTTCCCCCTCTCTCTAGCATCAGACAGCAAAGAGAAAGGACAATAGTCCCACTTCATGGAACACAGTAACACAAACATCCTGTCTCTGTCACTTCCCACTTTGTGTATCACATACACCGTCATGTGATAGACAAAAATCCCATGACTGCAATCATGGAGCAGGAATTCTAACATCCTTGCTCCTCCTGGTAAGTGACAGCAGTGCAGCTGCCAGAGTCTGCTGCCCCCTGGATGAGCTTCTTTGGAGTAAATCCTACGAACCAAGTCTTTCCAGCAGAACTGTTATTGATCACAAGCAGGGCTGCCTAGCTGTTTTTTCAGCTGGATGTTGCTCAAATGTTCACCGATGAAATTCTCCTTTAACAGGTTTTGTTTGTGCTCCTGTTGCAAGCAAATGAAACTTTGGGTTCTGAATGTTTGATGATAGCTCTGAATGAGTCTGAAAATGAGCTTCTTCTCAAGATATATTTGGTTAGTGAGACTTGCTTCTCTTCCCCCCTAAAGGTTTGCCCCCTTTGTCCAAAGCAATCTGAAGCTGCAACATTGACTATATCATGAAGTAGTGTTCTTTTTATGTGGAATTTGGTGGGTTGAGCCTGCTTTATGGAGATGAGTTGAACATAATTGTCAGTTCCTCCATTGAACTAGTGCTTTTACAATCTGTTGTAAATGAAGTAAAGCTCCCTTATGGATTTGGAAGGGTTTTGAATTCTTGCAATTAATCTTTTCCATTATTGCATAGTAACCTGGTAATGTTTTAGATCTGGGATTATGTTCATTCTTAAGAGGGATCACCAACCCTATGAGTGGCATTTACAACACTTTCTCCAAATTCAGAATGTGCCCACTGGTCCAAAAAGGTTTACAACCCCTGGGATATAATATGACAGTCCATTGAACAGTGCAATGAGGTGATGAAAATTCTCTGGAAGAATTTTTACCAAGTTGCTTAAGATTGTTGCAGAATATAATCAAAACATGTTCAGTTTGTGGTCTCTGTGTGGCAACTGGTAAACTGGTCATTCACATTATTTGACTGTTGTTGTTGTTGCTGACAGTATCTTTCAGCCTTCAAATATCAGAGTGAACAGGAATGATTTTTTAATTCCTCCTGAAAGTCAGTAAGGATGGTAACAGATGTACCTCATCATGGAGGGCATTCTACAAATGGGGAACTGCCACTGACAAGGCCCTGCCATGGGTCAAGGCCAACCAGGGATTTGTAGGACCCATAAATTATTGCTGTAATTTTAAGCATGGCTGCTAGTCAAAAAAAACAACAGTGTTTTGAATTTGTCATAAACATGCAACACCAGATGGCGCTGTAGAGCAGAAAACTTTTCTATGCGATTTTACATGGCGTTTCCCCCCTTTCGTTATAACAATTTAATTTCTAGCTGTTTCCCCCCCGTGTGTAGATCCACCCTAAGTCACACTGAATTCATTGGCCACATTATCATTGCTCACAAGTCTCATTTCCTTCAGTGGTATTTCCACTGTGAGCTATAAGAACTTTGGCTCTTTGGGGCACAAATCGACATTATTAACCTTCACTTTTTGTTCCATTAAACTTCTTTTTAGCACATACATTGCACTCGGAATGTGACAAACCTTTGCCTTCTCTGCATTTTTTTTCAGGCAGAGGTTTGACTGATATTGAGTGTGAGTAACTTGGTATGAATTCTGAGCAGGAATTTAAATTCTTTGGAATTTACATCTATGGTTCTTCGTTTGAGAATTGCTCAAGTGTTGCTTATTTTTGTCCCCCCCCCCCCCAACAATCAATTGAATGCATTCTTACTTGTTAAGGTCCAGTCGTGGCCGACTCTGGGGTTGTAGCGCTCATCTCGCTTTACTGGCCGAGGGAGCCAGCATACAGCTTCCGGGTCATGTGGCCAGCATGACTAAGTCACTTCTGGTGAACCAGAGCAGCGCACGGAAACGCCGTTTACCTTCCCGCCGGAGCGGTACCTATTTATCTACTTGCATTTTGACGTGCTTTCGAACTGCTAGGTTGGCAGGAGCAGGGACCGAGCAACGGGAGCTCACCCCGTCGCGGGGATTCGAACCGCCGACCTTCTGATCGGCAAGTCCTAGGCTCTGTGGTTTAACCTACAGCGCCACTCGCGTCCATTCTTACTTGTTAGTCAGTCCCAATGGGCTCAATGGGGCTTATTCCTGAGAAAATATGTTTTCTGTGAATTCTGTTACAAAGATAAATTTCTATCAGAGTTTCAGTCATTAGATTTCCTGAATAAATTAAGTTATAAAGAATAAACCTTGAGAGATCAGCTGCTTTTTTCTTTACGGTGAAAGAGCACTGAACAAACAACATAAAATGTATAGAATGTAAGCTGACATTGCTGGTTTAGATATTTCCGTCCTGATTGCTTAGTCCTCTATAATTTATCCCCAGTTTTTTTTAAAACCATTACACACCTACCAGAGACCAGTTCTGCTTTGACATTTTGCAGGCTCATTCTCACAGAAAGGGCTTTATGTGAGTGTCTTTGTGAGAGGGGTAATTTTATTTTTCTTAATATACAGCAGTGGTTCTCAAACTTTTTTCCTCTGAGCCACAGTTTCAGAATAAAAATTTGCTTGCACCACACCAATTTTTTTTATTGATAAGAAATGCATTGGAAAAGAAAAAAGAAACAACTAGCAGTGCTCATTTATATCACAGAACACAACTACTTTATAATACGATTCTGGATCATCCATAATATGGGTCATGGGACACGGTCACAACACAAGAAAATATATTGTCTGGGCAACTGAATTATACTCACTGTACTTTGCAGTACAGCACAGGAAGTTAGGGAGACTCACACTATTATCTAAATGAGTGATAACATTGTCTTTTATGCTGTGTGATGAATACAGTGCTAGAACATATGGAAATCCACCCCCCTTTGTTTTCTGTGGCTGCAGTATTTGTAAAAAGTAACAGAAGAAGTAAACAAAATATGTTTCTGAGTGAGCTCAAGGGGTTCCCAACATTTGCTCAAAATTCAGCCCAAAGTGTCAGCTTGGTAATACTTCAACTCAGCCCTGTAGGTATACTACAGTGATTTTCAGTTAATATAAATACTGCATAGATATTATTACTGCCCAGACAATTCTTTTTGTTTGTTTGTGTGGGATCTCAATTTTTTGTTTGAAAACGGCTCTGTATTTATATGAGTACTGTACATGAAACCCTTGTCAGAGCAAAACAACAGGATCTTCGCAGGTTTTGTTTCTATGACTACTTTCTCAAGAGTACCTCTTTTGTGTCTGGGGTCATCCACTTAGGTTGTTTTATTTATTTATTTCCTGGGACATGTCTTAAGGTACTTTTATATACCATGCTCCACTGCTTGTAATAGAGAAACAAAATGAATAAAACATAGTATGTTATTTATTCATACTCTACCAAAAGAAGCCTAATATGATGTTCATTAGAAAATGTTCTCTATGAATAGGTTTGCCATATTCCCCAAAGTGAAAATCTGGACGAAGTTGTTGAGCTTTTATTTTTTAGGAACATCTCACAAAAAATTAAGTTTTGGGGCTTTTGGGAGATTTCTTAATTGCCCTATTTGTCATACATCTGGGTTTTCTGCCTGGATGACATTTTTCAGCTCGATTCCCAGATGTGTCCGGGGAAACCTGGATGCATGGCAGCCTTATCTATATCTGCCTGAGGCAAAGGAGAACGAGGCAACTAGGCTAGCAGTTGACTTTTACTTCAACTGGCGATTGGACAGAGTGCTCCACCATGACTGAAGAAACCAGTCTAGCTTAGTGGGTCTGGTGGTACACAGAGTTCCTTTCTGCTAACATCCTGGTGTTGCTCCCTGCCCCCTAGTATTTGCTGCCTGAAGCTGCTGCACTCTGTTTAACA